GGGGAAGTGGGGGGGTTTATCCTGAAAAACTCGTGGGCTGATTCCCAAACGCGGGGCAGTCACTCCTTGAAGTGGTGGCTCCAGGAAATCTCCGACTGGGAAGAGCGCACGATCTGCCCCAACAGCTACAAGTAAGTGGATGCAAAACGAGTCGACTGTTCGTAGCTAACTTGGCCGAGTAGCCCCACCAACTGGTACGCTTGCGGCGGCACGGACAACAATGCCGACTTGGTGTCGCCCACCAACGCCACGGCCACAGTCGTGTATAACAAGGGTATTGAGGACTGTCTCACCGACACCACGCGGATGTTTGCCAAGACCAACGTCCAGACCCTCGACTTGAAGTGCTCGGATGCGACACAGTGCAAAGTCAGCGACGACGTAACCTACTACGTCCGCAACACGACCGACTGGGGCGACCGCATGACCCTCATGTGTGTGTGGGAGCACGACGCCAAGACCGGCTCGGCACGCGACTTTTGCTTGATTCCAATGCTCGAGCAAAACTTGGCCGCGACGTTCAAGTACAGCAGCCCTTTCAAGTGCAAAATCGAATCCTCGTACTGATTGATGGTGCTTGGCATGTGTAGGCCCAAAGTGGCGTTGGCCAACGACGTTGATCGATGTGGTTTCTACTTCTTTTCGTATGAAGCTGGTAGGTGTTGCTTCTTATAGTGTAGAACAAGTCAAGACTGATAGTGACTACATTGTAGCTCGCCAGTACTTGGCTCGATTCGGTCAATTTTTCGTCAACAGCTTTGACATTGAGTGGCATCCCAGCTCGTACGTGGCCAACGCCGACAAGTTCCCGTCGCGTAACTACACTTTGCTGCGACAGTCGACCTTCCGCCAGAACACGGACGACTTTGACGGGCCTCACCCGTACGCCAAAGTCATACCGCGTACCGTAACTTAGAGAACCGAATCATGGAAACTCCAAGCATGCATATTGAAAGCAATGGGCAAATGAATACTGTATTCTCGTACAACTCGTAATGATATATAACCACCTACAGTTATACGAATTAGGCTGTGTGGCCTAGTTAATGGTTCTTGTTTCAGGACTAAAATTGACCTGAGTGGCAGTTACACGTAACCGCCAACGAAGTTCATTTCCGACCAGAACGCTCCCCCCGATTCACGGACGATGCCACAACGTCCAGAAACATACACATCATCACAATACCCTCGGCTGACCAAGCATGTGTCAGCACCCCCAGCCCATTCCCCAGCACAATTGTAATCTCAACCCACGTTAAATGGCATGTTGCATTACAGCTGAAGTAGGGAAAATGATTCGCCAGCGGCTACATTTACACAGAAACCCCCTTCGATCAAACAGATATGGTGGTCCGCCAAGCACAAAAAGGAGCACTTGTTTACGTCGTTTTATGCCCACAACTTGCAAGCTTTCGCACGACCTACTCCCATCGCGTCGTCCCAGGGCATCCAAGCCGCCGAAATCGGGACGTTCTATCGACATCAGCAGCTCGAAATGCTCTGTGGCCGTGCCACGTCATTCGCCACAGTCAGTACGCACGACGAATCGTTCTCGTTGGTTGCGTCGTCGCGTCTGGCGAAACTCGAAAAGGTCGAGCAATACTTGCAAGCAGAACAAAGGCGGCTGCAGTCGCAGTGTGTTTGGACTTTTCACGATACCCCCGTGAGTGCACGGTACGTGCCACTGTTTTTCGAATACTCTCGTGTTGTTTGAAGTATCATCGTGGCGGCGCCACTAGACTGCCCATTCAATTCGTGGTGGTCGCGGTCCACTCCATCTTGGACAAGGCCATTGCCGACAGCGTGATGGCATGGCGTGCCCATCGGAACGCCCAGTGCGTACTACCTCAAACCCTCGCGACTGCTATCGCCCACACTACCCAGCATCTCGAACATTGCACCCACGTCCACCGCATCAACTTGACACTAAAATTGCCTAACCGACCCCACCACCGCCTGCATGCTCTCTTGACCACTCAATCCAATCTCCAACAACTGCATCTGCAAGCCACGGAATATCGCGAGCGGTTTGCTATGAGCAAAGAAGAAGAACTGCAACGAACATTATATCAATGGACGATGGCTGTCGAACGCAAGGCGGACTACACCAAGTACGTCGACTTGGCACTTCAGTTTCAGCCCCTCTCGGAAGTGGATTTCAACGCCACTGCGTGGCCTGGACATGTGTACGAGGTACAAAACCACAAGTAGCTCCATCCTGGAGGCTTCCTGTCCATTCATTTCACGCTTCTATTGTCGTCATAAACTTAGTTGCGCCTTCGAGCAGGGTGTCATCACGTCGAGCGATTTTACAGGCTCCATGGACCCCGTCGGCAGGCAAAGAAGTTTTCTGCCGCTCGTCGGATTCAGGCCACGATGAGGGGTGCCAAGGCAAGACGAGTGTATCAACCGGCAATGGCATTTCGAAGACGTATGTGGCACAAACTGATGCGCGTGACGTTCTTGGCGTGGCGAGGCTGGGCCAAGAAGGCTACGAAAGCCAAGCGAATTCTGCGCACAGCGCTGGCCTCGCGTCAAGCCACCAGCTTTGGCCGATGGGTCGAGTTTATCCGCATTGCCCGTGCTGAAAAGGAACGTAAAGTACGAGGCGCGTTGACGCACCTGCTGCACAACCGAACCGAAACGGTGCTTCGTCGGTGGCGAGGACACACGTATCGCATGAAAAATGTCCACCGAATGTCCGCGCGCGCCGTGACCATCAATCGGGGGTACTACTTTCATGCGTGGCGCACTGGCGTGCAAGCTGCAGTCTTCGGGCGCCTGCAGATGCTCAGTGCCATCCACTTGCAAGCAACCTGGCGACGCGTCCTCGCAACCCGTCAAACCCAACACAGGTACGCATCCTTGCATGCTTGACGTTTCGTCGTTGCATTGACAAAAAAACACAGGAATTTTTGATTCAACGACATAATAAATTGAACGTGTGTTGATTATAATGTTATTTGTTAGACGTACAACATACGCCAAGGCTGCAGTCCAAATCCAAGCAGTCGTGCGCGGCAGTCAGCGGCGACGGCAGCCCTTGCCATCGAAATCGCTGGACGAGCGCCGCCGGTCGGCGTTCCTTGTGTATGCGCAATCATTGAATCATGACGTGGCAGTCGCGTGTGAGACTCGACGACAACAAGCTGAAGACAACGTTGTGAAAGTCGCCGAATTGGCTGCTGTGGCAGCGCTCAAGGTGGTCCAGTCATCCAAAGAAGGCACGTTGGAATTGACCAAACTGGCAGCGGCGGAACGAGCCCTGCATGTCATCGGCACCCACGCGGTATTCCTTCGAACGTACGGCATGACCAAGGCGGAGGCATTCGCGGTTGTGGCCCAGCGTCAAGTGGATGAAGCGTTGGCGAACGCCCAAGTACTCGCGCGCCATACGTTTCGACTGCTGCGGCCACCACCGTTTGCGTGTATGCATCCTGATCACAGGGGCGCCGCCAGCTTTGCATCTCTGGAGGACTATGTTGGCCATGCGACTTGTTCATTGACGACTACACAAATCCAGCTGCATGTTCAGCTCTGTGAAAAGGGCATTTCGGGGACTTCAGACTCGTTGAAGGTGGCACTCCGACTGTGGAATGTGGGCCAACGGGTGTTGGACATGACAAACTCAACGGAATCTGTTGCAGAAGTAGCGATGGACGTGATAACAATGCCTCAGCTGCCACTGCCGCTGCCTGCATCAAGCGCTCACGAATGGAAGTTGGTGGACCAGGCGTTGACCGCGCTCAAGAAATGGTTTCACCTGGCAACACTGCCATCCTCGACACTGCATTCAACTGACTATACCCCCACTCTTGAACGCATTCGACTTGCCACAGACTTGCGATGGCAAGTGTTTCGTTGGCTCGTATCGGTAGTCCCTCCTCCTTCCACAACCTCGCAGTCCGACGATCTCGACAAGTTGGTCATGCGGCATCTGCATCACTACGACGAGGCCAACAAGGCGTTCTACACCCGATGGGCTGAGTTAGAACAAAAGAAACTACTTGGGCATTTCCAAAGGGATGCGTCAGGAATGTTGCAGGCAGTGGGGACCCTAGCCCGTAATGCTGTTGTATGGAAACGACGGGAAGCAGTGCATGGCCTACACCAGCGAGCCTCTCTCGGGTACTTTCATCTTGTGCGAGAAAGGGCCACTGTACATCTTGTGAAGCGATTTCATGCGAGGAATGGACTCTGGAGTGCGGCTACTCAAGCCATCGAAGCCCTGCGAGCTCGACGCATGGCACTCACGGAGCTTCAATCAAGATACGACCATGCCGCTGCACGGGTGGACGTGGCAGCGTGGCTTGGTGTCTGTCCGTCTATTTCACTCATCGTCAGCGGTATCGATCAACGCGCAGCGTGGAACCTGCGGCGGCAGGTTGCTGGCGCCTTCTTGCTTGACATCGCAACTCGAGCTCAGCAAGTTCAAGTTCCGGATAATTAGTCAATTTTATCCGAAAATCCCGTGATTTTATTAATAGGGCAGAGTTCTACTGCCGCGGACGTCACGATGACTCCCAAGTCGACGCATCCTTCGTCGCTGCCTTCAACGACATGGATCTTCGGCTTGTTCTGCTTGATCAACCTCCTGAACTTTGTGGATCGAGGTATCATTCCTGGCGCTCCGACGCAGTTCCAGTACTTCATCAAGGAAACGTTGCACATCGCAGTTGGCGACGAGAGCAAGTACTTGGGGCTCCTGGCATCGTCGTTCATTGCTAGTTACGCAGGCTTCATCCTTCTTTTCGGGTACCTCTCGATCTTCATCAAGCCTTTCCATCTAGTGGCTGTGGGGTTGTTCGTATGGTGTGTGGCAGTGGTCGTATGTGGGGCCTCGAAACCCGCCAACAGTTTCTACCTGCTGCTCTTTGGGCGCATCGTCAGTGGCGTAGGCGAGTCTTCGTTCCAGTGCATCGCTCCGCCATTCATTGACGACCACGCGCCGCCAGCCCAGCGCACGCTTTGGCTCGGCATCTTCTTCTCGTGCATCTCGGTGGGCACAGCCCTCGGCTACGGATATGGCGCGGCCATGGCCAACTCTGCTTGGGGATGGGGCTGGGCTTTTCATTGGGAAGCCATCATGATGGCCCCTTTGGTCGTCGCATGCGCGTTTTTCATTCCCGACGCGTACAATCGAGCTAGCCAAGACCACCACCACCACCACGTCCCCCTACCTACGGACGACTCGGACGACGACCCGAACGATCCAAGTAGTAGCGAAGAGGCGGTTCCCGTAGCCCACACCCGCCAGCCGTTCGTCACGGAAGTGTGGGCAGTCGTGAACAATGCCGTGTTCATGCTCACGGTGTTGGGCACGGCAGCGTTTACGTTTTCGCTGGCCGGGCTCAGCGTGTTTGGCCCAATGTTCTTGATCGGGCTTGGGTTGTTTGACAAGGAAACGGAAGCGTCGATGGTATTTGGGTCTGTCGTAGGTAGGTGGGGGCTATATCGTGCATCCATCCATCGTTCTTGGTGTTGCTACTCGTCTATTTTTTCGTGTTGTAGTGATCAGCGGCGTGATTGGAACCCCATTGGGGGGCCTCGTGCTCGACTGGTCGTGTCGCGCTCGACCCCACTTGCGGCAATACATTGCCCTGCGCCAAGTGTTTCTTGCCATGACCATCGGCACCGTCTTGTCGTTGCTGGCGTGGTGTCTGCTGCCGAACAAGATTGGATTCCTCCTCTGCTTTGGCCTCGCGCTATGTTTTCTCTTTGCCACGACATCGTCCAACGCGATCGTGATCTTGCTCTGTGTGGATCCGTCCCGGCGATCTCTTGCTGTGGGAGTCAACACCCTCATCTTGCATTTGCTCGGAGACGTGCCGTCCCCCATCATCCTTGGCGCGCTCAAGGACGCGTGGGCGCCGGACTGCGGCTCCATTGAGAAGGATGGCGCGGTCGTGCTGAATCCCGACTGCGCAAATGACTTCCACGGTCTGCTGCTGTCCCTCCTCTTCCCCCTGCTTTGGATGATCTGGTCCGTGCTGTCGTACGGCGCCGCGGCCTTCATCGTGCAGAGGCGACTTCGTCGCCAAGGGCATGACGTGTAGTTAGTTGTAGGTAGTGATTCCATCGGAAGGTGGTTTTCACTATTTTTAAGCGAAAACCAGCCATTCCTGTACGAGGGTATCTATCTACACTTTCAAACGCGGTTCTTCTGCGCACGATCGGATCATTATTGAGTCATCATTCCTCCACCACAATTGTGCTTTTCAGTCAAATTTGCCTATTTTGGGGGATTGATGAAATCACCAACTAATGGAGTATGATTGGCCACAAAGAATGAAAGTTGCAATTTGATTGGCTAAAAATTGATTGTAGTATTGCAGTCACAAAGATATTAATACTGCTCGTTAACTTCGTTTTATATTTAATTTCGAAGGTCCGCCGATTGTTCGGCGGTTGATTCATTCAACCAATAGCAGGAGGAAATTATGAGTAGAACACACAATACTATTAACTCCCCTAGGACCAAATAGTACTGCTCAGGAGTAAGGTAAACCATCGAATTCGCAAACACTTTTTGCGTTGTGTCATGCCTAATTTTTGACGCAACATATCGCTGGAAATCCTTGGAATTCGAAGGCATAGGAGGAAAATGTAATTCGAGCACTATTTGATAGTCCTTTTTGATCATAAAACAACTGAATACTGTATGTTGTTTGTATAGGATTATTAGGAGCAGTCGTAAACGTCGGAATGAAATTTTGTGATTTTCTATTTCTCGGACAGTGATTTTATCTTGATTTCTGTATTGCGGAATAAAAATATGCACTATTTATACATATTTACCCATTTACGAAACAAGATCAACACTCCGATA